GGGCGCTGAGGCACGGGGTGCCGGCCCTCGCCCACCGCTCGCTATCGCGATATCCCCTTCGGTTTGGTTTTCTGGCAGCGTGTGTCCCCCCGCGGCGCCGTTCACTAGTGGTTGGGCTCGCTGGGCGCAGGCGTAGCGTTTTGAACCGGTTGACCAAAAGATGCCTTTGGTATAGTCAGAAAAAGTACTTTTTTTTTTTTTTTTTTCCTTTGTATCAAGTAAATATACTTAATATAGATCCTATTGGAACATACAGACTTCTATAATGTCATTCTATGAAATTCATAAACTGTGTTTTGGTTCTCATGCGCACACATTGGCAACCTCCAGCAGGCATGCTGAGGCACACTTCTGTGCGGAGAGCTTTGTAAAATCCTTCCCTTCCTTAAAGCTTATCAGAAATAATCGTCTTTCTGTGCTGGACAAAAGTACTGAGATTTTGACTGGAGGGCCTTAACTGAATTATAACTTAATTAAAATGGAAAAAACATTAGATACCACCTGTGACGGTAGAAACTTGCTCAGTTGCTGCCTAGCTATGAAAATGCTTAAGCTCTGTAGGAGCCACGGTTCATGATCTTACAGTTTTCTGGACAGGTGCAAGCTGTCTCCCGTAGGAGTGCAGGACTGGCTTTGTCCTTGCAGAGCAGGGCTGCTCACCCATCAGGTCACCAAGAGCCACACAGCTTACAGAGTTGAAGTGCTCCTCTTTGAGTCATTTGCGTCTCGTTCAGGTAGATTCTTGGAGCACAGCTAAAAAGCAGAAGCCCTATCCTTTTTTTCTTTCATGTGCAGTAATGGCCGTCTGTGTCCTTGTGTTGTTAATTAGGGACTAAACCAGATAGCAGGGCCTGTGCTGCTGCTTCTTCCTATCCCTGTACTTGGGAGGTTCAAACAGAACTGTGCTTCATCCTCTCAGGACTGTGTTGTAATCACAGGGCAGTTGAGAGAATATGAGAAATCCATTTGCCATTGCTAGCGTTTGAAATAAGTCTCTTATCCCTGGATAAGATACCCATCTCCCTGAATCAGTTTTTATTTGCTCTTGTTCTAAAATGCCTTTATTTGGTTTCCTTCCTGTTTGTTATTCCTTTCCTCCAGAACACCTGTAAAGTGTGTTTCCTTTAGCCTTCTTGTATATCTGACAAGGTCATGTGTCTGGCATTTGAGACTTTACCTTCCACAATGGAATTAATACACCTGTGTAAGTTGGTGTTAACTTAGTATTTGCTTATTTTCTTGAGGTATCACACAGAATAGCTGCTTCAATAATGCTTGGAAAACGATTCATCTCCTAATCCTTCCCAACTTGGTAGTGCTTATGGCAAAACCACAATTTGAACTTTGAATCTTGTCTCGTTTTTATCATCCGAGGGCTACCTGTAAGGGATTTTGGCTCGTGTAGTTTCACCTCCCATCTTTCAACTGCTGAAACTGCTACTGCACAGAGAAAAAATTGAATACATCATCTGTCTTTGTCAAGGAAACTTTTTAAGTACAAGTCTTCAGGCATAGAGCTGAAGTGGACCACTGAGAACTTGCTGAGAAGTTACTTTTCGGCTCTGAGAGGGGCATCTGAGCAGCTGTACTTAATACACCCCATCTTTAGCTTTTCCTCTGTGCAGCTTAGCATGCCCAGCTTCAAAAGTGTTTAGAGGCCTGCATTTCAAGTATCTCACTATGGATACTGATTTTTTTCGTTTGTTTGTTGTGGGGTTTTGTTTGGAAAAAAACAAAGTTCTTAATTACATCTATCCCCATTGATCTTTAAGTATCTGCCCCACCTATGATCAAGCATTGATTTGAAAAATAGAAACATCTAAACTGGTACAAGCTTTCTAAAATCCCAATACTGTATATTTAAGATATTAATTGTAGATTATTTTATTATGGTGATGATAAGCATAGGATTTAACTGCTGAACTTCCTCCCAAATTGTAATAAAAATAATTTCCATCTGCTAAATAATATTTTTTGAAATGGCATGTTGTAAGGGCAGTTAATAATAGCAAAAGTAATACAGTTAACGAGTTGCTGCTAAATTTGTCATGAGAAATTTTGTAGTTTTGTCTCTTAAAACTCCAGAAATCCCTTGGAATACATCCCTCGTGTGAGAACAGAATATAAATGAAAGCGTTTTTATATGGCGGTTGCTCGTTGGCCAAGGTGCAATCACTTCATGGGATTCTGAGAGTTTAAGTGGTTTGGGCTGTTTTAAAATTGAGCCAGTTGTAAAGCTCTGTAGTTCTCAGAGGGAAAGAAAACTTGATACTGTTCAAACCCACATTTTGCTTCTTCCAGGGTAAAGTAACATTTCTAGCTCAGAAATTTGCAGAAGATGCTGAAATAGCACTTGTAAAGCAAAGGTTTGCAGAAGACTTCTTCACTGTTCTAGCAGCAGATGCTACTCCCTTTGCAAAGAAAACTTTAGCAAAACAGATTTTTCTTGTAGTGTTTATATTCTGATGAAATTCTGTTTTTCCAAGTGAAAAATGATTCTGTTGAACTTCCTAGCTGCTTCTGTTAATCATGAATTGAGGTTGTCAGGTTACATCACCTATTAGGATTATCTGTAACTTTAATAATTATGAATGTGTTTGTGTTTCGTGTTCTTCTGTAATGCTTTTGTAGTTTAAATGGAAACTGTAGTATGTGGGGGTTTTGTTTTGTTTTTTTAACCTTTCCAGCATTATCCATGTTTGGAACAACTGTTGGTCTTTATGGGATACCCTGGTGTAAGAAATCCCTGCTGTTAACTGTCTTGATGTCAGTTATTGGAGCTTCCATGGGAATTCTAGACACAGGTAAGGGACCACGTGGTCCGAGAGTTCCTTCACCAAACTAACGAGAAACTTCAAGCTCACTGAAACTGTTGCTGGTATGTCATCTTGAATTAAGAGGGGAGCTGTTTTACCTGGCTGGGATTCTTGGATTATTCTGGTCCTGAGACTTGCAGTGTTTGTGTCTCTGTAACAGGCCTTCCCGAGGCAAGCTGGGCATCTCTTGCTTTCTGGAGAAGATCACCGTGTATTTCAGTGGGCAATTACAGGCGTAAAGAAGGTGTCATGTGCTCTTTAAGCAGTGTTTTCTTTAAATTACTCAACTGCAGGAAGCTGGTCGGGTTACGGTTCACTAGTGCCAGCTGGAGCTAAAGTTAGTCCTGAGCAAGCCCTGGTGTTTGAGAGTTTCTCACAGTTGTGTTGGAGAGTTGCCTGCCTAAAGCTGGCTAGGTGGCATTTGGGGTTTCACAGCAGCCATTTACTGCCACAGCTCGCTCACAGCACTATGGCATCCATCTTCCTGAATTAAGGAATATTTGCTGCCCTTGGCCAGCCCCGCTTTGTGTTTGGGAATATAGATTTATTTTATCCCCCATGGTAAGTCTTTGGCATGTGCATGCTGCAGATGGCTTGGGGGAAAAAAACCCACTTTTGCTGGAAAGCAGTTCAAAACTGATTTCCTAGTAGAGGCTCCTTACTGGAAGAAGACGTGCCAGTGAAGTTGCAGAGCAAACGTCTCCAGGTGCGGTTGGAAAGGTCGGTTATACCAGTGCTATGAAAAAGAAACTCCCCCTAGCAATGAGTTTGTCGGGCTTGGCTTAGCAAGGATGAGTTAGTGCTGGCTGGCTGCAGCAGACAGCTCAGGGCAGGAGGCGAGGCCACGGCAAGAGACCTGAGCACGCTTGGAGACAACTGGGTGACGATGGTGGACTTGCAACTGGGGATCAGGAAACAACCAAAACTACGTCAGCAGCAGAGTGTTGGTGGTGAAGCTGCGAGAGGTGGCTGCTCACCTGGCACCTCCCCAGTGATGTCCCGGCAGCGTGCCGACTGCCCGGCCCACTGAGGCAGCCCGTGGCTACTTATGAGCTAGTGAGGTACGACTGGAGCCAGCTGACCAGCTCCGGGGCAGGCTTATTTCTGAGAAGGAGCTGGCTGATGTGTTAGCGTAGCTAGCCAAACAGCTCTGGAAACATACCAGCCAGGGCTTGGTTTCAGCGGCTTGGCCGGTAGGCAGCACAGAGGAACGATGGCTGCGCGTGGGAACCCTCTGCGGTGTTTGAGGCAGCTCTGTTAGGCACTCAAAAGTGTGTGATCCAGGATCCAGTGGTGAAAAAGATGGGTTTGCGTGGCACAGGTTAGTTATTGCTAAATAACCTGAGTGCAAAGGTGTATTTGCTGCTTCTCGTAGGATCATCACACATGGTGCTTGGTTTAAAAATTCTTTGTAGGGGAAAATCCTCTTGGTTTATTGTAAAAATGCCCTCAGTGGGTGTGTGTGCTGCTTGGAACTCAGGCCTTTGAGGCAGGGAGACTTCTCAGCCTGAGCGGGAGTAGCAGGAGAAACTAAGAACAAGGCAATAGAGTAACTGGATTCGTTTGGAAGAGTGTTAGTGCTGAGTGACAAGGGTTGCTGTACTGTAGCACAGGAATTTCATTACTGTTCTTATTTTCCTGCATTCATCTCAGGGGATTTTTTAAATGTCTCTCTGAGATCTTATTTTCTAGCATTGTTGTTGATCTGAGGGTGTTGTAGTATGGTTTTGCAGTGGTATTATTGTAAATGTTTCCACTTCTGTAAAGTCGTTTGAATGTGCAGGGTAGCCCCAGCCCATCTGAAGCAAGTGATCCTTGATGTTTTCTGGGATGTTAAGGAGGCCTCAGATTCTTAGCATTGTGCATTGTTGCTGTTAATACAGAAATGAGAAGTGGTTACATTTGTTCTGTTGAAAAAAGGCTGGAAAATGCTGCAAATTGTCAAGGAGGGTAATTAGAGTCATAGAAAGGTTTAGGTTGGAAAAGACCTTTAAGATCATCGAGTCCAACCATTAACCTAACACTGCCAAGCCCACCACCAAGCCATGTCCCTAAGCACCACATCTCCACATCTTTTAAATACCTCCAGGGATGGCGACTCAACTACATAGGCAACCTCTTCCAATGCTTGACAAACCTTTTGGTGGAGAAATTTTTCTGAATATCCAATCTAAACCTCCCCTGGTGCAACAATGAAGTACGGCTATCGCTGATGGATTAAACCACTGTGTGGCTCTTCGTTTTGAAAAGTTTAAGGTTATTTGAAGGGTTTAAGGTGCTTACGGGCAGAATTTCAGTTAACTACAGTTTTGCACACTGTATTTGCTAAATCTGGTATTATTGCCAATGGAATTAGTAATATAGGTTATGGTTTGTTTTTTATTTAAAGCGGTAATCTGGTGTCAGACTAAAATGACTGAATCCTCCTCTCTCGGATCTGCAGGTGGGAATGTACTGGCTCTGAACACCTGGGGAGCAGAAGCTGGGCCACATATGCAGGCCTTGCACTTCAGTTTTGCTGTTGGTGCATTTGTGGCTCCAATCCTGGCTAAAATGGCCTTGGGAGGCTCCGAATTGAAAGAACTTTCAGGAGCTGAAAAGACAAACCAGTCCATCCTGAGGTCTGTGCCGACAGCATCAGCTGCATCAGCTACGTCAGCACTGAAACACCGTCTCGGTGCAGACTTTTTGTGGTCCTATGTTGTCATAGGGACTTATCTGCTGTTAGTTTCTTTCTTCTTTTTTATTTTGTATTCAAAGGGCAGCTCAGCTCGAGACAAATCAAAGGCGTCTCTGCAGAAGTGCACGTTTGCCAAATATCACTATGCTCTTATTATGCTCCTGTTCGTATTCTTCTTCTGCTACGTGGGAGCGGAGGTCACTTATGGTTCTTATATATTTACTTATGCAAAGGTCTTTGCCGAGATGAAAGAAAACGAAGCGGCCGCTTTGAATTCTGTCTTCTGGGGCGCGTTTGCCGCTTGCAGAGGAGTGGCGATATTCTGTGCCGCTTGCATGTACCCTGGCACCATGATCTTGCTGAGTATCGTAGGCTCTGCCGCCTCCTCCTCGTGCCTGGCCTTCTTGGCGCGGCACCCAGCCTCGCTGTGGGTGGGAACCGCCGTGTACGGAGCCTCCATGGCCACCATATTCCCCAGCGGCATCTCCTGGATAGAGCAGTACACAGTGGTGCAAGGAAAATCGGCTTCTCTGTTTGTGATCGGGGCCGCGCTGGGTGAGATGTGCATTCCTGCCGTGGTGGGGTACCTTCAAGGAAGGTTCCAGCACGTTCCGGTGGTTATGTACACCGCCCTGGTGACCTCCGCGATGACGGTTGTACTCTTCCCTCTGATGTACAAGTTGGCCAACTCTCCTGAGGAGAGCAACTTGAAAGAAGTGAGTGAGAGCGAGGACCGGAAAGCTTTGTTGTCAAACTCAGGGCTTAATGAGGATGAAGAGGATGAGGAGGATGCGGGAGAGTGGAATGAAGCAGACTTTGAGGTAATAGAAATGAATGACACGCTGAAAAGCTCTGTGGTAGAGACCTCCCGTAAGATACCAGGGGACTCATCAGCCAAAGCCCCTCTCCAGCCCCAGCTGGACGATGCACTGTGCGACCCTCCAGCGGTTGCTGGGGGCTCCCCTGGGAGAAAAAATGCAAATGTTGATCGGGAGAAGAATGATTAAAGAAAAAGCTGACTCTTTTTTTTTTTTTTTTTAAAAAAAAAACAAACACAGAAATGCAATTGAATTGTAGCTGGTCTTGTCAGGTGGTTCAAGAATCCCTTTAGCGTGGCGCAGATCTCAGCGCATTCATCCAGCCCTTCCCTTCCCTCTGCAACGTGTCTTGGCGTGGGAGAATCCACTGTGGTGTGAATGGGGTAATGTGATAAAACGTGTAGATGAATCTGAGAATGTTAAACCGTAAGAGACGTTTTCTAAATACGAGGCATGCTTTTAATATATGCTGTAAGAAGAACTGACTAGGAAAGAATGGGACTGCTCAGAGCACTTGTTTTTTTGGGTGACTGGAGGGTGTGGTTTCAAGGTGCTTGGTCACAAAGTGTTTTCACAAGAGGGAAGAGAAATCTGTTATCTGTGACACTGAGCTTTCTTACCTCATGAAAAAGGAATGTTTCTGCTGGGCTGAACGTTTTGTGTGTGACATAAACCAGGAAATCAAGTTAAATTTCAGGTGATGCCCAGTGGCTGTAAATCAGGTAACCTGTTGGCAAACTATATAATTTCCTGGTTCTGTCACTAAGATGAGAAGAAATGAAAAAATAATTTTTAGGAGTGAACCACGCCTTTGGGTCATTTAAAAGGAGTGGAGTATGGGAAGCAGGACAAAATGAGTCATGTCAATCTGCTGGAATGCTTAACTCTGATTTTCTGGTTAAACAGTGGTGACAAATCTAAATAGCCTGAAGTAGCTGTGATTTTAATTAGTGCACTACCACTGAAATTAACAAATGTATGAAGAAGATGATAAAATTTTATACAAAAAGATGACAATATATCGTTATTGATGTAGGGATTTGATATTTTGAAGCCAGTTGTTCAAGTTAAGGTTTTAACAACTTTTCTGGCTTCCTGTGCCAAGACTTTTATGTATGAAAATTGGAGAATGGGGGGGAGTTACCGATGAGACAATCCTTTTGGGTTGTACTGTCCCATCGCTCACCCCTTGCCGGCTGGATTAGTGCTGTTTGGGTTTTGTTTCCTTGGGTGGTGACTCACAGGGGGACTTTTCCCTAGTGGGAGGTTTCTGTTTGTAGGTTCATTGCTGCTGAGCGAGGAGACCCTGGAAGGCCCTGTCAGGCCACTGAGGCCTCCCCAGGAAGAGCAAAAAAACTCAGCAGCTAATGGCAGAAATCTGACTCTAAAACAGTAACTTGCAATTTGTCTACTTGAAACTCCAAATTTGTAGGTTAAGTATTTTTTTAAGGCTGTGTGATCAGCATGTGCCCATGTTTGGGGTTTTTTTTTACTTTGCACTTTTATTAGTATTTTTCTTGCTGAGAAGTTTGATTTAGTAAGAGCTCTAGATGTAACACAGCACAGAACCTTGAATGTTCAGTGTGTTTTCAGGACTGGTTTTGTTCCCTCTCTTGTCCTCCAAGTGTTCAACCTCGAACCTTGTGGCTTTTTGCCTTTCTTCTGAGAAGTTGGTAAGAAGCAGGAATCAACTTGTAGTGAAAATGCATCATTTTTGCATCTTGCCGTGTTGTTTTGCCCAATACCTTGTTTTCTCTTGTGTGTATGTGCATTTCTGTGGCATCTTTTCCAGTGCAATGCATGAACCTGCACTTTAAAATACAGCCTTGTGTCACTTGCTACACAAGGATTCTCTTTGCTTAAAGTAATGGTAGATGCTTTTGAGTATCAGGCCAAACCCTGTTCTAGGTACAGGTGACAGCATTTGGACAACAGGAGTAGGGCTGTAGGGCCCTGATGGGGTGTGGCAGAGGTGGTGACTGAGATGGGCATGGATTAAACCTGCATTTCCTCAGCTTTCCTCCTGCACCCCAGTAACTGCTGTGGGTGTGTAGGAAGCAGAGGCTGAGGAAGTAGGTGGTAAAGGGTAAATCCTGCAGGTGGATGGGGAAGTGGTAACTGCTTCTGCTCTGCTTTTGTGGTGTTCCCAGCCCCCAGAGAGGTCACGGGGTTTGGTGCAGGACAAAGAGCAGAAATTACAGCTCCCCCCTGCCTCTGCAGTCCACAGGCTCCACCTGGACTGCCCACAAGGGAAAAAAGTTTCCCCAGACCCAAGATTGTGTTGCCAGGAGAAAATTCGTTTAAGAAACACATTTGGCAACCAGGAAGATTTTAAATAATCCCCAATTCATATGCTAATTTTTGGAATGAAATTCCAAATGGAATGTCCTGCACCTAAGATTGTTCTCAGGGATAGGTAACCTGTCTTGCATAATCAAGTACTAAAAACCAGAAAATGAAAGTAAAGCTGCATTGAGAAATGTGCTCTGACCTGCTTATATACACAGTTATTTGTGTTTGACTAATGTCTTCCCAACAAATGTAAAAATACTGTGCAAAACAAAGATTGGATTATTTTTTATTTTTACTGGCTGTATTAATTCTTGCATGTGTTAACTTGAATTCATCCCTCTTTTTCCCCCTTCCAAGCAGGAGGCCTGAGGAGTAGGGACAGAGCAAGAGCCTGGGCTGCTGGGCAAGAGCAGCCTTTCACAGGTGAAGGACCCAGAAGCTATGGCAGGGAGACAGGGTGGAATCTGGGTAGCTCCTGGGAGTGATACTGGTTAAAATCCCATCCCCACAATAGGTGGAGGGCTTTGTCTGCATGATGTCTACATTTGGAGTCATCTTAGTAAGCACTTACAGCCCCTTCTCCTTATTTCTGGCCTCAACCTTGACATGGAATATCCATACAGAACTTGTTCTCCTCTCCCCTCCAAGCATGCTTTTAAGAGCAGGGGCTGCCCCCTAATGAAAATGAAATGTTTGAAGCCGTTTAAGGTTACTGCAGACCTAGAACATTTCCAGTGCTGAGTGCAGCTCCCAGCACTTCTAGAGGTCCTTCATGTTCAAGGCTCTAGCTTTCCTAGCTCTTGGATTTTGGTGTTCCTCAAGGCTTGTTTTCAGACAGTGAATGTTAGTTTTTACACATTTCAATTTCCTTCCAAGCAAATTTACAGTGAGGATCTCTTCACAGTGCCTTTTAAGTTACAGATCCTCCAGAAAGCTTAAACACTTAACTTTACATACTATGGGCTGAAATTACTTGAAGTAAACCGTAGTACTTTACCATCGCCTTGCATACCAGAAAAGTCATCTCTGTTGAGGACAAGAACTGTGGTCTGTGCATTAGATACCTGAACCTATTGAGAATCTCATATTTTGGTCCATAAAGCTGAGACCGAGTTGAAGATGAGCACTTGCCCCTTGACTCGGGTGTTAAAAGTAACAACCTCTTGCAGTTAAATGTCATTTAATCGTTTCATTTAGACCCCCAAAGTGCTGCCAACTGCTGGATTGTACCGTGAGCACTAACACCTTAGTCCTGGCATTTGCACTTTCGTTCTGTACGTGACCAATGCTCAAATGCAAGAGCAGGCAAAGGTGTGTGCCTTGATGGGGTTTTTTAGTTACTTTGCATAAAAGCGCATCGCAATCTGTGGGTGTTCTATTGTATATTTAATAATTTTCATTCTGCTTGGTGTTGGTTTACATTGTATTGTATAATGTGAAATTTAATAGACTGACTTGTATCTTGAATGTAATAAATTCTTAACTGGAGAAGGCACTCAGGTTCCCTGATGTAAATAAAGTTTTGTTCTATTTTTCAAAGCTACTCTGGACTTCTAAATTTAAAACTTACTCCTCTTTTGACAAATGGAAAACTGGAAATGTTTCTCGTCTGGTTTGGGGAAGGCCTCCAAGAACTGGTACTGAGGGTTTGGATCCCAGAGCTTAAGCTGAAAGTGGAACTGTGGATTCTTAGCTCTTGAGCAGTCCTGAGCAGGGCCTTACTACTTGTGTGCTGAACCGGGGAAACAAAGGTGCCTGCAATTGAGGGCAAATAGAAAAAAAGCACGTCATTTTTACCATATCATTTTATTCAACTTTAATATGGTTTCCATTATTAACTTCTAAAACAAAATGATTTCCAGTTTAGAAAACAATGCACTGACCACATAATTCCTTTTCCATTTTATACAGTTATACAAATATTCTAAATACACATTTTGTCAAGATGGTGGCAAATAAGATTTAACTGTACAGTACATAAGGAAAGAAAATATTTTAAGCATATTTAGAAGCAATAGAAATGTCTATACAAAACAAGCAAAAATGGAATAAAATTTTATATTTAAAGTATTGCAACAGTCCCACAGGTTTGTAACAAAAATGTCTTTGCACAGTTCCTCACAATGCCCCATTAATAGCTAAAGCAAGACAGCAATTTTTAGAAAATAATGTTTCAAAATGCTACACATGATACTACTGCTTGCACAGTCTGATCAAAATAACAATCTACTTGGAATCAAGCAAAACTTAGGAGGAGATATACCAACCAACTTTAAAATTATCTGTATAAAAGTCATTGCACATTATTTTACTCAGTTGTTTGAAAAGTAAAAAAGTGTATTTACAAAATATTTCGCAGACAAAATTATAAAGTGAATGCGTAATATATAAGTAACACGTCTTGATACTGACAGTTCAAGAACACACACTAATGGTTTTATCATTTCAAGAGGTTTTCAGTGCTCCTTCCTCCAGGAAGTAAACTTGACTTCTACTTTGAAATGGATTTACAAGATGTTACACAGAGCTATTTCAACATCAGCATTATAAAACAGTATGTTAGAAACATGAAAGAAAGAAGAAATTTGTACATCTTAAAAAGTGAGCTGTTCATAGATCAACAAATGTGATTTTTTTTTTTTTAAATTTAGTTAGGATAAGTGTTCATTATTCTTCAGATAATAAACCCAACAGTTAAAATGGAAATTCCTGGACTAGATGAGAATTGAAAAAGCACCATGCACAATAGTCTTAGTGTGGTAAACACTGAAGAAAAAAAAATAGCACCTGGAATCCTGTAACACAGATCATTTAAAACTGGTCAAGCAGCTGGCGAAGATATGGTGCCTTTGACAGTTCTCTGCTTACTCTGGAGAGCTTGAAAAGTACTGGGCAGTTGAGGGAGACACACTGGATCTGTCGATCAAAGCAGCCTGTACAGTTCTTGCATATCTAGATTACACATAAAAAACCCAAAACGTTATTTTAAACTTAACATGAGCTTAAACTTAACATACATCACCCAGGATTCCCAAGTCCTCAGCACTGTATGAGCTCCGTCCTGCCAGCCCCGAGCTTTCCTCCAGCACGGGGGGATCCAGCGCAGCTCCAGTCCCACCCGGCTGCTGGTGCCTGGCCAGCAGCGCCCACCCTGAGCTGGGCACAGACCCGCAGCTTCACAGGGCCGCTCGGGGTCTCAACCCCGCTAGTTAAGTTCCACTCATATCTAGTGACACTGGAAAAAAATAAGGTAAATAAATGGAACGGATTGAAGTGGGGCAGCATGTTAGATTCATGATGAAGTTGCCTAGTGAAAAAAGACAAAACTGTTCTGCAGTTATTCAATACATAGGAAAGGGACTTAATTAACTACTCCTGTTTGGAGATAAGCTTCAATTAGAGTTTTACTTTCCAAGTCAATCAATCCCAAGACAGAAATACACAGGGCACACAGGTTCCACTGCTCTTCTTGGTCACAGAACTACTCGTTCATGTAGTTAATGCTGCTTGAAAATACTCCAACATGAGATACACGAGGGAATAAAATAGCAGCAGGCAGTTTTTCCAAAGGTAGCTACCTTCAGAAAACTAAAGGGCCCTGGCTTTGCCATTTCATTTTTAATCATTTCCAGTATCTGCGACCTCCAGTGTTTTTTCCAAAAACTCAAGAAATTTGCTTCCAACCACACTCATGTTTTGTAACATCAAAATGTGACACAAGATTATCCTAGAATTTGCAGTTTGAACAACAAATCAGAATCATGTCCTTTGCTCTGAAAATTAGTACTTTTCCTTCTTTCCAAACTAAAACTATTTGGGCCCCTGTGACCCTCACAGCCAGGCCCTGACAATAGCTGGGGAGGAGCAGCCCCTCTCGGCCAAGTCCCACATGTGGCACCTCAGAGGACAGCAGTCCTCTGACCTGCAGTCATGACCAAAAGGAACAGGATTTAAGTGGTTTGTTCCTTTTGTAACCACTAAAAGAACCTCAGAAATAAGCCTACCCTAGATCTTTGGAAAAAGGCTCTGTCTGGTTTGAACACAAAGGATCAAACTAAATGGTACTCGAGACACTTCTTAAGTTCAGTTTGTGCAGAGCGGAGAAGTCTACGGCCTTAACCTGTGGCACGTAATTCTCACGTGCATTTTAAAATAACATATGATTCTATGTTCTATCAGTGTTCTGCTGTCTCTGGCGTGTTTATAACCTAGGAGGGCCAAGAATTTAAGCTGTGAAGGATCACAGCATCATAGAATGGTTTGGGTTGGAAGGGACCATAAAGATCATCTAGTTCCAACCCCTCTGCCACCAGCGGGGCCACCTGCCACTACACCAGGTTGCTCAAAACACCATCCTGTCCTGGAACACTGCCAGGAAATGTACATCTTCACAGTAAAATACAACAGATGCTCTTACAGAGAGGTTATCAAACACTGACTAGAATGGGATCCCAGGCCTTGCCGACCTGCTGCAAAGACAAAAGACTGTTCTGATCAAACCCACTGATCCTGCTGCGGGGCTGGACCTATCTGCCAAGTTCTGAGGTATTCCAGGACAAAAGCAATGTGAAAGGTGTAGAGTGCCACAGAAAAACTGCACAACATGCACCGTCTTCCTTTGCTGGCATTTACAACACCAATCAGAGCAAATATTACAAAATAGAGCAAGGAATGAGTCCACACCTTAGTAATGCAATATTTATGATAGTGAATTATAATGTTTTTCTAGCAACAGCCCCATGGGAACCTATGAAATCAATGCCCAGACTGCAGAAACCTTTATATCCCCATTTATAATTCAGACAAGTCTTTAAAATGGTTCACGTGCTAATGCTCAAAATAAATGTTAAAAAAAAATTATTAATTGTAAAAGATGACAGTAGGAAAATTAGGTGAGATATACATATGTTTCTGCAAGGGGAGGCACTGTGCTTTGCTATAATATATTGGCAAAGCACAGTCAGCTACCCTCTTAATTGACTTCTAGCTCAAGGGAAAAAAGCAGCTTAGAAAACTCCTATCGAGAGGAAAGGTAACAAGAAAACCCCCAAGCTAGCACACACCTCTGTGTTTTATAATTACATTTTAGATAATAAATGTATTTTCTGGGACAAACATTTTTGTTACTAGAATATCAATTGTTATTTTAGTGAAAAAAAGGTGAATCTGTCATACTTTTATAACTCTTCATCACTATCATTATAAAAAGGCATCTACAAACCACGTAGGATACTCTTAGAAAAAGAAGAAAAGGAGGAAAGCATCTTCTGTTCTGATCCCCGCCTTCACCTTTATTTTTACACAGCGCTAAGGAGAGTAACAGCTGCTGTGCTGCCTTCAGCTGCAATGGGAAAAGCAAACAAGCTGTAACACATTTAACACCCAGATTGTACTTCCCATTTCAGCTGGGGGCACGCAGTAACACACTGCTTTGAAATTTCAGCCCCTGTCTTTGGCTGATAGACATCTGACAATGCTTTAATCATACCTTGACCAGCTGTTCTTGCTTACGCTCCAACTCTCGGATTTCTTGGTTGAGAATCACTGCCACATGCTGTGGCTGGCTTCTGCACTTATTACAGATCCCGTACTGGGTCAGTTCATCACACACGGGACAGTGTAAGGTCGTGAAATACTGGGAGATTGTGCCTTTGCGTCCTTCTAGCTCGCTGCGGGCAGTCGAGGCAGCTTTCTGAATCTGTAAAAAAAAAAAAAATTGAGAGGTAATGAACTTTCAAGAGAGCAGCTTGCCTTATGCCTAGGTTACAGAGCCTGTTTTTTTAAAGGAGTATGAAAATACAACACAGCCTGCAGGGCGTGGGCTCACGCACAAATTATTAACATGGATTGCATCACTCTGAAAAGTGTAGTACTTGCCCTGAAGCGATACACTGAACAGAGCACACCCACACACACACCTATTTCACAGGGCATCTCACCAGAAAAGAGAAAGAGTAACTGAAGAAATCCTCAGTCACCCGGTAAATTCCTGAACTCATTTCAAGCTCTGCCTCCTGCAGTTGTTCCTTTGCAGGTGCTGATTGACTTCATCACATCCCAGCGTGCCCAGTGGTCGCCTTCTGGATCCTGCTGCCCCTCGAGTTGCCGTGCCAGCGCAGTCCCAGTCACAGAGCTGACACCGTCCTTTGCTCTGTGGCTCCAGCTCATGCTGATTTCCCTGGATAAAGCCCCATTGCTGGCCCCCTGCCCAGGAAGGTTAGTTTTCTGCACTCGCTCCTAGTGCTGCATGACTTAGCTCAGTGCTATCCCTCACTCCCCTGCTTAAAATACCCAGCTGCCCGGCTCCCTCCCACCTCCCCAGTGCTCCCTGGCCTTGCAGAGGCCAAGCTCTCTGTGCCTTTTTAGAGCAGCTTGGAAACAGTGCAGGTGAGTGTCATGGTGCCATCAGGAAGGTAAAGAAAAGCAGCAGAACTGAATCAAGTCAAGGCTACATTAAAAGTTTGCAGTGGGAAATGTGATGACCTACCCTGCTGCTAAAGCCTACACCAAGCAAAGTAACCAAACTATGCAGATAAACG